CCCATATGTCCAGATTTGCCTGGACGCTGCCTTTAATGTGGATTCTTTTGTGCCTGTTTTTGTATTAGTCGAAATTGTTTGTATTATAGTGAGTTGCTTTTCGGGACTTTGGGGCACGAAGTCTTGCAGTACGATTATGATTTCTCATCTGACTTTTCATCACAGAATTCGAAATCTGGAAAAGCTTCCGAAACTCATTGCATAAACTTGGATTTATAGGTCATACGTCACTGGGAGCACCTTTCACTAGGTCCCATCGATCAACCTAAGGATGTGCTCTATCTTACAGTTGTGCCAGATAGCTCAGACGTGTGCAATATGGCTTTGAAGTATATGGAGCAGTTGAGCCAGTAAGTTTTGCTACTCCAAAACCATACCGTTACTTTCCGCCTTCTGTTTACTCTCCTACAACTCAATTGCATCCGTATCTATATTATTTAGATTGAGTTACCTGTCTATTCGTTTTTAGAATGTACGAAAGGATGCGGCTTGGGCGTCACATAGCATGGCCTACGGGAGCTGACGGACGTGATGGATGTGTCAGAGTTGGCAGTCGCAATCAAAATGGCAAATATCCGACGGAAACCGTCGACATATCTGCTCACAAGATTGACTTCATCAATCTTGTGAGCAGATATGTCGACAACAAGGCATTCATAACAAAGCTTAGGGTAGGTATCTTCATCGTTCTAGCTTACGTTTCGAAATCAAGTCAAATTTTTGCAGCAGTTCACTCAGCAAATGGAAGAATCACTGCTACAAGTTTTGTCCGAAAGAGATGACTTGTTCGATAGAACGGCATTCCGTGAGACACTGGCTTTGGATTGGCGTGCAAAAAGAGCTGCCGCCGCTGCTGTTGCATTGGCTGTTGAGCAGCGATTGGCTGAGAGTAAGTTGAACACAAAAATTTGTTTGAAAAGTTCTATGAGGTATTTGCAGGCACAGCTGAGCCCGGAACTACGGTTCCTCCTCCCGAACCACCACCACCTGAACCTCCATTAGAACCTGAAGACATTCCAGTCGATGATCCTGGCACCCTACCTCACGTGATTGTGATCTATGTGGTAAGCTCATTATTTTGTTCAGCATTTTTTATTTTGGAATATCACAGCCGATGTCTTTTGTTCCAGTTCAACCCATTCACTTGGGGCACGGAGTTCAGAAGTGGCTTGTTCACTAGAGTGGCTACCTTAGCTATCATGCGGGCATTCAACACCGTTTGTTTGCGGCTTCCACTGCGTCGTCGTCCACAACTGCAGTTAGAAATTGTTCCTATGGAACAGGTTCGTATTATAGAGGTGTTTAGCAGATCATTTCGTTTCTCACTTGACCTGAAGTCTTTGTATTCAAAGTCTGCGCCTTAGGTGGCAGATCTTCTGGGTTACCTCCCAGATTACACAAACGACAATGCAGCATCACAGTATCTGTTTGAAAACAGCGGTAAGAAGAGCTTTTTTCTTGTTTTGTCGTTTCTAAGTGTTCTTTTTAGGTGGAAGTGAACGTGAACAAGTTGATTGTGTCGCAGTGGAATCCTTGAGGGTAAGCCGCTTGATTTATTTTCCTACATAAGCAAACAGATGTTAAACACAGTGCATCTTCCAGGCAACCGTACTATCTGTCTATACACAACCCAGAGTTTTGGCAGCTGATTGCATTAAAAGCGTCCAGGCAAGATGTATGACCAAATTTGGTCCAGGAAGTAGTCTGTTAGACTCACTTGACGAATGGGAAAGAAATGGTCCGAATGTGTTCTATAAGGTACGAACTTTGAATACAAAAGTTTCTTACTCAACATGATGAACGTTTAGGTACCATCAAACGCTTATCATCTTGCTCCTCCGCCACTGCTTTATCAAAAACATGAAAATGGCAGAATTATTCAGTCATCTCCAGAAGAGCAGGTAGTTGCTGATTTCAAGCATTAGTTGATAATAGAATTAGAGACGAATTGTATTTCGAATATTCTCTGTTAAGGTTCTGTATGTAACATACTGCGTTATTGGATCTGATTGGCTTTGCGTCACCGTCACCGATTCTCTCGGCCGCCTAAACGATAATTGCCTCATCAATCTGAAAACTCGTCATGACCATCAGTGCGTTGATTTTTTTTTTGTGAGAAGTACTTGAACTATTGATCGCGACCCAGTATCTACAAATATCGCCAACAAACTCAAATACTTGATGGGATGAGCCGCCTTTGGACTTACATTCTTGGCGTTCTCTGCATGGAAACGCGAAACTGGAGACTGGTCATTGGACGTCTTGGACGAATTGGTCATGGAGAGTTCAGAGGTCAGCACTTTTTTACACCTTGACCGTCGAAATTTTTGCATTTTTGTTCACCAGCACGCTCTCATTACACGGTTGGTTATGTATGTGGTTGTGGGCACTTAGAGTAATGTGCATTTCATCAAAACGGGCCCTTAGATCATTGCTGATACTAAATTCTTCAGCGTGGACCTATCTGCTGAACAAAACATCTCTGAAGCGGCACTCAGCTCGCCTCAAAGAAGTGTGCACTTCGTGCGCCCAAATGCCAGGCTGTACCGGAACACCGAGCATTCTCTCTGCATGCCTCGTGTCCACAGAACCCGAGCCGTATCTGCGAATGTTCCCTGGCTTTGCTTCCACTGACGCGTATAGGTGCGGATTTTTGAAAATCCCTAAAAAATTTAATGATTTTTCTTTTTCAGCAAGAAATCTCGGTCTGCTGGGGCGGATGATACAACTGTTACTCACATTATGGTATTTCCAACCAGTGCGGACATACAGGTAGGCGTCCATTCTCACTTAGCTGTTACAGCAGAGCTTTGGCCTTGGTCTTGATTTTCAAAACCATTTCATGATTTTTTCCTCAAAATCGTATAAAAGGAAAGCGATACTAATCAGGCAAAAGAGTTTGAAAATTAGAAGTTTTCATGATTATGTTGAAGTAATCCTAAGAAGTGATCAAAATTGAACTCCAAAGATGAAAAAAATGAAAAGACAAAGATGAAATAACAAAGATAAAGTGGATCAAATGACAAAGATGAGATTTTCACACTCTGGTTTCGGGGCTTGAACTAGAC